CTCGAATCTCGATTCAATCTGAAAGCCTCAAAGGGAACTCCCTCGACTTGTTCGCGCAGCATTCAGAAAAGGCACGGGTTTCGAAAACCCGCCGGGTCACGGGTATGATCAGGTCACGGGCATCACGAAAAACGGTTCGGCGACATGACGTCCTCAGGTGACCTCGGCCCGGTGGGCCTCCCGAAAGTCTTGTCCGGTCACCTCAGGCCGTCGTAGCGCGCTTGAGGCCACCTTGGGCGACCTGGGATGGCTGTATGCTTGTCAAGACAGCTGTGGTCACGGTAGCTCACATAAGACTACTACTACTTTGATCATTCAATGCAAGGTATGACATACTGACATTCAGATGCTATCTACATTACAATCCCAAACTACTGTGTCACCCAGCTGTACCCAGCTGTACACCAGTCGCGAACTTCTCCCCCACTTGAGCGCAGTTCGTACGGCGTACAGCGAGCATATCCAGTTGCGCGTCACTATGCAACACCCGTATATAAATTACTCGCCGATACAACAGACCTTGTATGCGCGACTTTGACCTTTATGCGCGTGCGCAAAAGTCGCGCTCGCGGAGGCAGCGTTGCTACTAAGTAACCGACGACTCTAGTTTACTAGAGGATGGTTTACGAGACTACCGACGACGCTGCTTGCCGCTTTCGCCGTTGAGAGCACGCACACTCTACGCGAAGCACGCCTTGCCTGTTCTGGAGCGAGGGCCTGTCCTCCGTCGATGCAGTCTCGATCATGAACATGGCCAGCACCACTAGACAGCCTATAGAGTCGGTTGAAGGAAGCCCTGTAGGGGGAGAGAAAAGAGAGCATACAAGTGGCGACGCGGCGGGGCATGACGGGTGGGAGCAGGGAGGCTGGAGGTGGGAGACGGAGAAGAAGGCTAGAACTTAAAAGGTTGCCTGACTTCACGGATCATCGATGACGACATCAATCGAACTGGTCCAGACCTTGGTCCGGATTTTGCGCGCTGAGGCTCGCCGCTGAGTCATTCGTTGCGTCTCTCCTCCCACCCTCATGTCGACTGGCACTACAGCGGCGTCGGACGTGTAGCTCTCTCTGCTGCTAGCCCTCGCCATTCTTCATCATACTAAGTGTCGATTCGCGCACACGCATTGCAACGGCGACCGCGGCGCGGTCCCTTTGACTCACCAGCACCTGGAGGCACTCGCCCTCCTCATCCTCCCCTCGACCTCTACGCGAGACGGGGGTGCTCAAGAGCACGCGTGTCTAGAATGGCGGGCGAGGTGCTGTGAGCGCTCACCCGCCCAGGTACGTCTGCTGTACCTCGCTCCGAGGCCGCAAAACTGACGGATGTATTGCTTACAGGTCATACTACGACTCTTAGCAAGGGGGCGCATGAGGCGGCGCCGGACACCGCCAGCGCTCGCGGCCGACCCTGCGACCTCGATGTGGTGCTTGCTCGCCCATGACGTGGTCTTCGCAGGCGGTCGAGCCAGCATCAAGGGCAGGGGGCAATGTGATGGCACGGCAATCAATGCTCTCGCGCTGCTCGCTGCTCTTTATCGCAAGCAGGGGCGGTGTGGTGCGCGCTGGCTTCTTAGCCAGCCGCCCCTGCGCCTGTCCGAGTCGCTACGTCTGGCGCCCCTCGCCCTCACCTCCCAACGAACTCGGACGACTAGGCAACACTTCAATAATCTATACAATGGAGCAGAAAGACCTGTGAACGGTGATAGGCGCCATATAGGTGCGCTCCATGCCCGCATGCACTGATCCAAATAGCATTCTCACACGTTGCCTGCCAGATCTCGCTGCGACTGTGAGCTACACGCACTGATTCTCGCATGAACGGATGCATTCCGTTGACGTCTGAGGGCACGCAGATAGACTACGTAAAGGTGTGTTCAGGGTGTCTCCGGCAGCGAGAGCGCGCTGACATGCCTCAGAACGCAACCAACGAAGCCGTGCACCCAGAAAGGCCTTACCGGCGCATTGCCCAACGGAAGAGGGCTGCGCCTTCGCGGCGTGTCCGGCTCTATGGCGGTAAGATAATATTAGGCCATTGCTTATTACTCACAATAATTTGTAGCGTGCAGGTATGATCACTACGTACAGAAAATCCAGCACTCGGTGCTCGGTTCGAAGCTTTAGATGTGTAGAGTAGCCTTAGTAGTGTCTCTGTAGTACCAATGAAATAGAATCTGTTTGCATTTCTATGAATTCAGATTCAGAAGCCGCGTATAGCCTGTAAAAACTGCTAAAATCAGCGCCTGCCTCAGGTAACCTCAGCCATCGAGCTCACATATAGGTGACCTCAGGTCGGTGAAGGTGCTCTCACAATCGGACCTAAAGTTTGAGCGACTTGACCGACCTGACATGCCTGCGCCGACCTGCGCCGACCTGAGCGCGCCCCCAGTCTGCTCGGGGCACCTCGGGCCGGATCCCGTTTTTCCAGATGGGTACGGGTACGGGTCGCACTCGGCCGACCCGCCAACCCACCACAACCCGTGGGAAATCCGCAGAAAACCCGTCCATAAAAGCTGAATTATGAGGCTGTGGACCTCAGGTCTATTTGAGGTAGAACAGAGGATCAGATCAGACTAGAGCGACAGCACACAACTGACAGATGTATAATGAGCTACAGAATGTGTAACTACGCACCTAGAGTGACAGCACACAAGTCAGAGATGAAGAGAGACTTGGATGCAGCCGCTCTAGGCAGAAAGACCGGGAAATGCCAATGACTAAGCGGAATATGTGGCGCACAGCGTAAGGCGTAGTGCGCGCATAAGTAGCAATAAAGGCATGGGAAAAATCAGGAGAAATCGGAGAAAAATACCATAAGCACGAGAGCGTGCTAGAACACCAATCCCAACAAAGTGCAGCGCGGGTATCCAGACGCACCTGGGAAACCAGCCTCCGAAGTCACGAAAGCGCGTGAATGAGAACATACCATGCGATTATGATGGCAACAACGGCAGCGGGCGCGTTGGGCGTGACAGCAGCGGCGTGCTGGAACGGCGGCGGGCGGCAGGCGGGAACGGCAGCGCGCGCGGGGAAGCAGCAACCGTATATGGGAGCGACGTACAGCCAGCACGCTATAGAAGCAATATGGGGGACGTCGTGATGCGTGGTAGCAGAGGTGAGAGCACTGCGTGCATGTCACGGAAAACTACCTGAGAATTTTGTATCCCTATACAGAATAATAATCAATTTTCCTTCATAGAAAACTCAGTAGCCACACAAAAGCTCCAGTAGGGCCAGCTTTTTGTAACCTAAATTGACTGATTGGCTTGCATGTGTGGCCTGCTTCTCTGAACTTAATGTAAACATAGAGGAGATCCTGCTGTGAATGAATCTGCTATGTAGCACTTTTGCTCACTTCAGAATTTTGCCCACTTCAGAATTTCGCCACTTCAATTTTGCCATTTCGCCATTTGGCAATTTCACCATTCAGCCTTTTGGCCTTTTAGCCCGTTAGCCATTTAGCCTGTTAGCCCGTTAGCCCTTTAGCCTGTTAGCCATCTAGCCTGTTACTAGTTAGCCCGTTAGCCTGTTAGCCCATTAGCCCTTTAGCCCGTTAGTCTGGCACAACATCCTCAATTCCAAGTTAAATGGTTAATGGTCTAGCCAAAGGGTGAAAGGGCTTAACGGCCAAATGGCTAACACTAATGGGCTAACAGGCTAACGGGCTGAATGGCTAATGGGCTAAATGGCTAACGGGCTAAAGGGCTAACGGGCTAACAGGCTAAATGGCTAACGGGCTAAAAGGCCAAAAGGCTGAATGGTGAAATTGCCAAATGGCAAAATGGCAAAATCACGAAATTGAAGTGGCGAAATTCTGAAGTGGGCAAAATTCTGAAGTGGGCAAAAGTGCTACATAGCAGATTCACTCACAGCAGGATCTCCTCTATGTTTACATTAAGTTCAGAGAAGCAGGCCACACATGCAAGCCAATCAGCCAATCAGTCAATTTAGGTTACAAAAAGCTGGCCCTACTGGAGCTTTTTGTGTGGCTACTGAGTTTTCTATGAAGGAAAAAATTATTATTATTCTGTATAGGGATACAAAATTCTCAGGTAGTTTTCCGTGACATGCACGTAGTGGAGGTGGACCAGCGCTGGTGAGCAGCAGCGGGGCGGGGCGGGAGCGGTGGGGCGGGAGCGGTGAGCGGCCTAGCGCGCCACGTGCCTGCCTTTTTGCGTGAAGCCATCATTTCCCGAATATTGGCCAGGAATAGCCCATCATTCCAGTTCCGACAAGCCAGACCGTTATTTGATGGCAGGCATTATTTCTGCGTGAAAATACCCTATTGTCAGCCCTAAATAATACCCATAACCTACCCATAAGCCCCTACATACTATAGCCCAAGATGAAGCCCTCTAGCCAGGGTGTGGTTACATCCATGATCAATGGAAAGCAAGCCACTGGATACATTCAAGGGCATATGGTCATATATGAGCACATTGGCTTGCGCGGGTCCCTATTCTCCTGAGTCCTAACTCGAAGTCACCGCTTGCTGCCGCACGACGATCCGTGTCTCCCGATCTGCGTCCAGCCCCAGCCGGTAAGGAGTGTATGCTACCTATGCTGTTAAACGCGCAAGTAATGCCACGTCCTAGAGAGGCTGCGGGCGGCAGGGATGGGCAGGAGAAAGCGCGGGAGAAAGCGGTGGGTAGGAGACGAAGGAACAAGCGTGTTGGGGGCGTTGAGCGCGCGGCGAGGTTGAGGAGGAGGGGAGGTTGGTGTATGTAGGGTGCGCGCCAGGGGTGGACTCCTGCAAGCGGCACGTCGAAGTGACTGTCGAGGGCGTTGAGGGCGACAGTGCAGTCGGATGCCGCCGCCGATCGCGCCGCCGATCGCGCCGGATATGCGACGGCGGTGCGGTGGAGACACAGCAGAGGCGATGAGGAACGCCGCGGTGCCAGCATTGATGAGCGCGCAAGTACGGCCACTACGGTGGAAGTGTTGGAGATAATCACGTGACCTCTGGTTGGTCTAATGATATCCCAATATCACTAGTAACTATAGACCCGATAGCTCAGTGGTAGAGCGTCACTCCCGAGATGTGGAGGTCCTTGGTTCAAACCCAGGTCAAGTCACTTTGCTTTTCCCAACAGGAAGTGAGCACGGGACGACGGGGGTGGTGGGCAGCGCGGCCCACGCTGCGCGTGTTGTTCATTGCAAGTTGTTCATGCCGCACACAATGTTTATTCAACACCCGCGCACGCACGGCAAGAACATAATGCTGAGTATGGGGTCAGCTTTGAAAGGAGACGGCCGGTGCAGATGCCATGCATACCTTGGTCCTCGAGGGGGCAAGACCTTGAAGCAGTTACGATTTGGGAGCCATGGAGGAAAGGAAAGGCACAAGAAAAGCAGCTGGTCTGCCAGGGGGGTCACCCCGCCTCGAGAGCGCTCAAGGGGCAGCCAATACTGGCGAAAGGAGAACAAGGAAAGCAATTTATGAAGCCTGAACTTAGGGGTAACGACAAACAGGGCAAAACATTGAGAAAGGCGTGTCGTTTCCAAACACTGATCTGCTCTCTTCATTGACAGTCATACAATCGACCTAGGATGTATCTAAGAGCACTGTGTGAACATCCTTCTCGAGCTTCAACAAACAGAACATGTGAAGATCGGTGTATGTGTTCAGATGAAAAGCAGTCGCGAGGTCGCAGCAATTGTCCATTGTCCACGACAGACTGATAGCCTTACCGGGCCGTCCCCAGATATGCACCACTTTCAGTCTGTGTGGCATTGTGGCTTGACAAAACCTCGGATTCCTTAGCAAATAAATAGGCACACTCATAGCATAACTCTCGACATGTCTGAATATCCTTAGCCATTTTGACCACGAGACACGCGTTGTACTGCAGAGGGGGTGTAATGCACCACTTGGCAAGGCTCGGAAGACCGGCGCGAGATCAGCCGCATTTTGCGAGGTGTTCTCGAAACCATGCCCCGTGCACCGAGCCCTGACCATCGTCTGCAACTCAAACTACATGGCCAGCATCTTCATGGTCTCTAGTACTACCCTGATTATTTCAATGATTTAAGGAGCTATATGAAGCGCCCCAGCATTGATGCGAAACGGTGCATGGTCTATACAGGCGGCCATTAAAACTGCCTTCGATTTTCTGTATGCCCTCGAGAGAGTCGGCGGGCCGTCAAACTTTGTGAGATTGTAGGGACACAGTGTTTCTACCATCATGCAAGATATCTAAGAGATTGAATAAATTTTGGCGCAACAGGAACCGAATGGTGCACTTCTGGGTACGGTTTGCCGAGTGGTGCATATCTGGGGACGGCCCGGTACCCATCCTAGGTACGACATGACAGTTACGGACGATGTGGTCGATCTCGATGATCTCGCCGTAGACGCCGCGGTTGCGAGTGGAGGGCTTGATGCTGTAAAGCCCGCTATCATGGTCTTTGGGGCCGAAGGGCGTGAACCATTCGATGTAGGCCAGCGGATGATTGGTGGGAACCATGAAGATTGAGGGTAGGCTGAAGAGTACGCGGACACGGGCTAGACGCAATCCTACAGAGAATTATCAATCCAAACAAAGCGAGACTGGTGTGAAAGAACATACCTTGCAGACTAGTGCCGTCGGTCCCTCGCCAGTCCTGATGAGTGCAAAGTCGAGGTGGGCGGGTTCAGCTGGTCTACGCCCGCGCACGGGCACAGGCGGACTGGCGCGAACAACATTCCTCAAGTTGTTGATCGTTGAGCCAGCTTCAAGTATGCGAGGGAGTAGAATGGTGATGCGCTTGAATAGAGGGAAAGTATCGTAGGGATGGATTATGAATGGCAACCTGCACGACTGAGGAAGGCTTGTAGCGCAGGGATGAAGCGAGTGGCATTGTGATCGCAGCTGATGGTCTGCGCATCGACGCTTTGGAGCTCACACGGGGGATTCTTCGCAATGCAATAGCAGGTACGCCCATTGCTCGCAGTGGTCTCCTGTTCGTCCTCTGGCGCGGGTTCAGCGGTCGGTCCACTAGTCGCAGTGGCAACAGCGGCAGCAGGACCTGAACATCCGGTAGTGCAAGAGGGTGGTGCGGCAGGCTCTGAGGCTGAGGTAGCGGGCTGTGACAACACGTCGGTGGGAGGAGGGGTGAGAGGTGTTGTATGGCGGTTACATTGCACATTTAATATACGAGACTAATTTGCGCTTTTTTGACCATTTTGCACTCTAAGTTACTTGCACAACGCCTAATTTCTCCTTCAAAACATAGTGGAAATACGAACTCACCCCGCGTAAGGGTTAGAAGTCGGTTAGGGTTTGGTTAGGGTTCGGTTAGTTAGGGTTTTGTTAGTTAGGTTGGTTTGGGTGGTAGGGATGTCATAATTGTGTCCCTCAGCAAAGGTTATCGGTTATGTCACGTGACCCTTCGGCGGGGTGTGTTGCGCCCTCAACATAGTGTCAAAGGCCAGATAATTACGACACAATTAAGCCCTTTCTGCGAAAGTTTGGACTGGCCTTTTTGGTGGCACTACAAAGTTTTAAAAGCCTTTTGAGAAGGCACGCAACTTACCTGACCCCATCTCAAACAAGACAGAAGAAGCGATACATTTCATGACCCTGGCGATACTATCTGAGGTCTATAGGCTGGTACGACACTTTCCCATGCTCAGTCCTGCATGTCCCCGATATGGCGACACTTACCCTGACTGCCTGTGGCGACACTTTCCCTGGACTGCAGGCTAGACAACACTTTCTGAGGGGCATGGCGACACTTTGCAGTTCGCAAGGGCGGAAGTGGCAGCAGGTTAATGGGTAGGCCAGGCCAGGCTGCTATTAGAATTAAGTAACTATAAGAAGGTGTTGGTATAAGTAAAGCTCTATAGGGTGGGCTGTTGGGCTGCCCCTTATCTCCCATGATCTTGGCGAAGACCAGGCTATCTAGGAAGGTCTGGTTGTCACAAGTGGCATCCAGTCCTTGGCTTATAGCCTGCTTGATTGTGTCTACACCAATCTCTGCAGTCTGCCACATGCTGGCCTGATCAAACTAGACGCCTAGAGTTCTGGGGTGTCGGGAAGTCTGCGCCATCAATAACGCAAACCTCAAGGTCTGCAAGAGATCAGCTTGAGGAAGAAGGATAAGGGTAAAAAGCGAGATGCTTACTGGATATATCAAAGTTGAAGTGGTAAAAAAGAGCGGAAGGGTAGGCCACAAACACGCCTGGCGGGATTTGGAGAATAATGCCAGCCTCCCACATCACCAACCAGCACTTTTCTTTGTGGTTAAATTCTCCTGCCTCTCTGTTAGCCCATGTTGTAAGGAAAGCCAGCTTGCTCACCATAGACAAATACAACGCAAACCACCAGTGCCAGGTTCTTGTAGTCTGCATGAGGTAGGCAGTGTACGCGATCAACCTGTCCTGGCCTAGACACATTCAAACAGAGATTGAAGAAAAGCCCATACATGGCCTTCACTCCATAGCGTTCATCAATCAAGGCGATGCCCTTCTGGAATCGCTGCGCCACGCCTGGGAAGTGAATCTCCACAAAGGAGCTTGCGCATTGACTGAAGTAAAGTCAGTCAATTGGAATTTGGCGCAATAAGAACCAGCCATCAAGCACCTGATGCACGACATGGGGCTTCCTTTGCGGAAAAACCAGTTGATAGCTTCCTCATTATCCTTATGGAACTTCGAAAGCGCTGGGATCTAAGTGTTTTAAGCCAAGGAAGGTAGGGAGAGCTTGCAGAATAGACTCACTGTCTTGTTGTTCTGGTCATGGCCACAAATAGAGAACCAGTGGGAGCCCCTTGAGTTGTGCTGCATGGCCTGTAAGTCGAAGGGTTGCTGACACTTCTGAACGAAGAGAGAGGCTTCCTCAATAAATTGAGGCATGAGGTCTAACTGCCAGCGCGCGATCTGGCTCCGGGCAATGACAACCCTCCCAAGCTGGTCGGCAATAAATGTGGGCACCTGTTAGGTACACTGTGCGACCTTAGATAGGAACGCTTCGCGAACACCTATAAGAGATGACGCCGTCCAATGTCTCCGCGTTCCGATTTGGCGTGACCGACCAAGTCCAGCGGGGTCCGGTGTGAGTCCGGTGTGAGAGTCCGGACAGGAGTCCGCGGACTGGACTGGAGTGTGTCCGAAGACGGAAGGACGAGGTTTGAAGAGAAGAGAGAGCTTGTGGGAGCAGGGTCGAGTGTAGAAGGGGAAACCAAGTTGATATTTCCGCTGGCTATCTTGGAAGAATAGCCAGCTTAAGTACATGTACGAGAGTCCGAGTGATCGGACTCAATAGGTACTATCTGATGCCGGATCCTGCTATCTACGACCGGTAGGTACGAGTCCGTGTCCGATAGGAGAAAGTCCAGAGCCGGTAGGTACATGTCCGGGTCTGATAAGTAAGAGTCCGAGGTGGATACGAAGGTGATACACGATATGAAGTAAGTAGCATATGGGGAAGGCAGGATAAGGCGATAGAGGATAAGGGTGGAAGATAGGACGAAGATATGAGGGAATGCGTCCAGGTCCGTAGCCGAGTCCGCCGGACTCGGTGCTGGACGCTGGACCGGAATGGAACAATAAAATATGTCCGGGACGAAGGGAAAAGTAGAAAGACGAGTCTGGATAAGTAAAGGACGTGCGTACTGGATGTGAAGTGCACGCTGCGCGTAACAGCGCCTGCGCAAGCAAGCTAGTAAGGTGGGGTAGTTAGCAATCCTTTTGCTGCCAGTAACACTTAGGACTCACTCATCTGCATAAGGGACACATCGGAAATTCTGCAGCGCACACCCTGTAAGAGGCTTTAGCAAAATTCTATAGTCAAGCTAGAAAGCGACTTACCAATAGTCTCCTGCTTGAAGAGCTTGACAAGATGGCATCCTCGATCGTTACAATCCAGTAGTCGCGATGGAGAGGTCAGTCGCAAGGGAGCCAGAGCCTTCAACGCTATGCAGGACCTGCTTTGGCTGCTCAAGCTGATGGGCTCTTTGCCTAGCACTGCTTCTTAGTTTGCTGATCTCCCTTCGGTACTCTTGCGCGCTACACGCTGAAGCCTTTACAGTGTTCAATCACTCGATGAGCAGCTATCAGTCGATGAGCAGTCGGCATCGGAGAGCCACTCAACAA